TTAAGCACCGTCCACACGTATCTGGATATTTTTGAAAACGGAATTTTTTCCTTGCGTATTGGCCTTACGTCCGCACGTATCCGGTGAATACGCCACTTTTTGAAAACGAATACGTGTTAGCCTGCGTTGCGGCGCTTTGAGGAGGGGGACTGGGGAGGAGGGAAGATACGTGTGAACGAGTGAAGACGACTGGTAAACGCTACGTGTGGAGGAGAATTTTTTTCGAAAACGGAATAAAAATCACCGTTTTCAAATGCAAACGGATACTTGTGGACGGAGACGTAGACACAAAACCGCTCTATCAGATTGATAACCGTATTTCAGAGTACTCCTCCTTGAGTTCATTCTGTAGACCTTTGTACAATGTGTCTTTGCTTGACTACATTTTTTGTTTTGTCTCTAGCCCTATCACAAGTCTTCGTGAATGTATGTCGTTACTAAGGTAAGCATAAATGTTATATATTTTTTAAATCTTTTTTATCAAACAAAAGCTTTATGTGTTTTGGTTTTCTGTTCTAGGAATCAGATTGCCAGTCTTCAAGAGCAGATGAACGAACACACAGACTCAGTTTGCAGCACCGCTTCTTCCTGGAGGTAAAAATTTGTATGTTCATATTCTTGGGGTGCATGTGACGTCATAGCCGCCATTTTGATTGACTTTGACAAAAGATTTGTTCTTTGTCTGTTGTTAATTATGTGACCCAAAAAGCTGGTCAGCTGCACAATAGGGCACAACAGGGTCTCTTCGAGGTACATTGCACCAATTTTTTAAATTCCTTTAATCGCGCCACGTAAATACATACACCTACTTGCAAGAACGTTGTCATACGAAAATAGAACATTAGTGATTTAGTGGGATAGGAATTATATTAAAAAACAAAAGAAGATCACTGAAGCTGAATTTTTTCTTTTGTATTTTAATGTGTTCCTTTCTCACTAAATTACTAATGTTCTAATATCGTATGACAACCTTCTTGCAAGTAGGTGCATATATCTGCATCAACGTTTTACCTTCAAACCACGTTTTGTTTTCCGATTGAATATTTAGTCTTCTTCTCTACTTCTGTTTGTAGGAGTTTTGAGAAGAATGTTCATATCCTTCAAAATGATTGCGCAATGCCTGCACAAAGAAATCAACTTTCGCTTCCAGAAAAAGATGTGATGAAACCATAACTTCAAATCAGGTTTATAAATTTCTCCCTGGAACACCTCGAGCTTCGACTATTTGTTAAACATTTTTATTTAGAAAATTTCCCTTTTCTTGTACTAAATTATTACTTATATTGGACTATTTAACTCGGCATGTTATTAAAGTACAAAATGATATGAATGGATAATACGCGTATACATCAATACAATTCTACAGTTGCTCAAGTCACATCCGTATATCGATTTCAAAAAAACGTCTAAGACCGAATAGTTTCTTTTTATTTAGATTGGAGTATGGAGCATATGACCTTTAAGTCAGAAATGTGATTTTGCGTATTTTATCCAGAAAACATAATGAAATTGTCTGAGATGGCTCATAGCCATTTCAGATCTCCGACCGACGTTTTTTGAAATAGGTGCAGACTCGTACCCAGTCGCTTCTCTTGTCTTATTGATTTCACGCTGTGGTTGATGGGAAAGATTTAGTGAGTCCCCGAAGTCACCGCGCGCAAAGAAAAAAAAAAGCGTGAAACAAATGACGACTGGGTACGAGTCTGAAATAGGTGCATCAGATCCGGACCACGCCCCTGGAACAAAGTGTGATAACCATATGCATGCTTATCTCTTTTATAGTCCAAAGGACTGAAAACAGTTTGTGAATTTGGATAAGTTTATAGGCAAAATAAAGAGAGCTAATAGAGTTCAGCCGCAACTAAGGCCACGTTTACGTGAAGGTAGGTGAAGCTACTGCTCAGATGGATTAATATATATTTTTTGGTTTCCCTGGAAAAGAAAAACAAAATACTTGTCCCTAGCACCAGGGTCATACTACCTTCATGTTAATAGTCTCTCAGAAGGTAGGGTGACCCTATTGCTAGGGCTAGTTCTGGTTTCTGGTCACCTTAAAGGTAAAACAACCGACTTGTCCCTAGCACCAGGGTCATAATACCTTCATGTGAATAGTCTCTCAGAAGGTAGGGTGAACCTACTGCTAGGGTTAGTTCTGGTTTCTGGTGTCACCTGGAGCCGAAGGAAAACAAAAAACTTGTCCTCAGCACCAAGCTCTTCATCGTAAACATGGCCTAATGGAGGGGGAAAATATTTGATGCTGATGTTTTTAGTCGGATTTTAAGATTTTTTCTCTTTCTTTTGTCATATCAGCAAACATGGCAGTCCTTTCTATCCCCACCCCTATCCCCTGGGGAAATAATATCCTTCAATCCTCCATTTGAAAAATCATTTTGCAAATACGAAGTCAAATCCTAGGTGCATCCTGTGTTTAGCCGTAAGCGTTTGGGTATCCATAAACACTGGGAGTAGCCGCTGGCTTTCTGCTTTCAAATTTGATGAGAGCATCCAGGAGGTCGTCCCCAGTCCCTGACGGGGCTTGTTCGAGGGTAATATTCAGGTATCTCTGGCGAAGGATAAAAGCGGCAGCTTTTGGTTGCCTTTCTCTTGTTAGGATCCCCTTTTTATTGCCCACTACTCGAGTAATTCCTGAAAAAAGAAGAGAAATGTTTATTAAATGTTATGTAAATGTAACGATTTTTTTGCGAAGTGGATCCACAGGGTACCCAAGCACGGTTTTTATGTCAGTTATATTATGAATAAGCTCTTGTTGAAAACTCGGGTCAAGCTAAGAACAAGTCGTTAAAAAATGGAATTTTCCATAAATCTTCGTAAAAGAGATGTATTATTAACCACATACATTAATTATAATATACTGGGGGAAAACCAAGCGTTTACTCCCTTTGCACAAACAACGTTTCGGAAAGGCAAAACTAGCTCTGCAGTTGTATGGTATTTTTAAAATAATTTACATATCTTCTACGTTCGCCATCGATCAGGGTTAATGAACGAACCATTTCCTACAAATGTCTATATACTGACCTTGTGTAGTTAAGAAATCTGCAAAGTTCCAAATCATTTCACCAATGAAGAAATCTTTCCTAAGTTTGTCGTAGACTGGGAAGTATTGCTGGAGCGTTTCCACCTACAAAACAGTGACAAGAAGAATCACTCGTTTGCGTCGTATCACAAGATCCTGTGCTATAGACCTTACTTTCGTCGTGGTGCATTGTTTTTCCATTTCAGACTATACGTCATTCCCTAGAGTATCATTTCTTTGTTTAACGGTTGTGCATGAGAAGACACATAAATATGGATACAACTCAAAGAATCTTATTCTCAATTGAATGACACGTGGTATGTAACGGAAAAACAGTGGTCACTCGTGAGAGGTGGTCACTCGTGAGAGGTGGTCACCCGTGAGAGGTGGTCACCCGTGAGAGGTGGTCACTCATGAGACGTTGGCATTCATGATAGATGATCAATCGGGAAGTTTCAAGGGTGTCAACTTTACCTGATATTCCTCAGTGAACATCACAGAAGGATCCTAACGAGAAGAAAATGAAAGATAAATGTGCTGGCATGGACAAAGCATCTTACGACATTTGATTGAGCTTCGACGAAAGTTACGAAAACTGAAGCCATTTAATATTGCCATTTAATAAAGAAATTTAGTACGGACCTAAAAGCTGATGACATGGATGAGCCAAGCCATGACGTCGTGTGTCCGTGACGTGTCCTTGGCTAAGGAAATCACGACAATTCAATACCATTCACAGCGCGCAGATCAAGCTTACTGCTCATCACTCTAATCATAATGCTGATACCGCAACCATTATCAGTCAATAACAATGCTTTAACAATACATTGATCAGCCAATCACAGTGCTGGAAAACTACTTGATCAGCCAATCACAATGCTTTAACAATACATTGATCAGCCAATCACAATGCTGGAAAACTACTTGATCAGCCAATCACAATGTTTTAACAATACATTGATCAGCCAATCACAGTGCTGGAAAACTACTTGATCAGCCAATCACAATGCTTTAACACTACATTGATCAGCCAATCACCATGCTGGAAAACTACTTGATCAGCCAATCACAATGCTTTAACACTGCATTGATCAGTCAATCACAGTGCTGGAAAACTACTTGATCAGCCAATCACAATGCTTTAACACTACATTGATCAGTCAATCACAGTGCTGGAAAA